CGCATATCGCACATCTGATAAATGTCGCCTACGTGAAGCTATGGAAGAACGTTTGCGCGTGGTACGCTCGACTTTTGCTCCAGGCACGGGGTAGGTCTCATCAGGTTTCCCATGTTTCAATCGAAGCACGGTTGATAATATAGGGGAGTATTCGCGCTGCAAGGGGTCCTGCTTGCGTACATAATCGCGATGTGAGAATCAGGCAGTACAGCGACTAAAAGCGAGGCACTCGCACTCATTCCTTCTTCTCACCATGCCTGGCGAATCGTCCATAAACAGCCCATTCCGCCGTGCCCCAGAACGCGACATGGACGACCCTCTCACCCTCGCCCTTGCCCCTCCACCTGGTGCGCCAGCCCTGTTACATGGTATATGCTTGTCTAAACTCTCACAGGAGAGACGCAGGAGCAAGCAGAGGCTCGTATTCGCGCAGAAAGGGCTGCCTTGAAGATCAGCGACGATATCGACCGCGAATTACGTCTCGAACTGCAAGCTGCCAGGAGGCACAAATGCGTAAAGGTCTTGCTACTGGGACAGAGCGAATCTGGTATGTAGACCGTTTCTTGGCCAAACTGTACACTGACATCGCTTACAAGGCAAGAGTACTGTGCTCAAAAGTTAGCATCCGGAACTCTGTGAACGACCACTTGTTGATGATTATTCAGACTTCCAGCGTAGGTACGACCCGCTGGCTTTCGACCGCGAGCGTGCGGTGTGGCGCTTGGTGTGCCAACTCAATGTCGTTCGCTCCTTTGGAATCATCCTCGATGTTCTAAACCACGTCTTTGATGCCCAAGACCGGCACCAACAATCCGACCCGCTGACACCGCCCACATCACCCAGAGTGGACCCTGAGCATGATCGTACCGCAAATCCAGCAGCCACCGCCACATCGCAGAAAGGATCTAAGCTGACCCCCGAACACCGCCGCCTCACCATGCGCCTGGCTCCGCTTCGCCAGATCGAGCACGCACTTACCCGCCGCTTAAGATCGTGCTCATATGCTCCTATCACCCCACCGCATTCGCCTCTCAGTCGATCTCGGTCGAACCAGGAGCTGTACCTCAGCGGGTATGCCTGGCAGCGTGTTCGGGAGCACCGGTCAGGTGCTGATCCATGTACCCAGGATGGAGACGAGGACGAGGGGATGAATCGTGTGCTCTGTGCATGTCAAGATGATATGGTGACTCTATGGAATGACCCGTTTGTTCGAAAGCTCCTGAAGGTACAGCGCGTCGGTATGGAGGAATTGAGTTCCTTGTAAGTGTGCCTGTTCCTCGTGATGTCATTTGTTGTTGAAACAGGCCGCAGTTTTCTGGACAGCCTAGCACGCATCGCTGTTCCCAACTATGAGCCCACGGATGGTGCGTTTCCTGCAGCTATCAAATTGGCATCTTCATATCATTCCGCAGATGATATCCTTCGAGCGCGAATCAAGACACTGGGCGTCACCGAGCACCGCTTCACTATCCGGCCGAGTGCGTAAATTTCTATTAGCGTCAAGCTATCTCACCGTCTACTATGCAGAGATCACGGAGAGAGAGGCCATTAGTACGGCTGATTTCCGGATATACGACGTTGGCGGTTCGGTGGGTCTTCAATTTCGTCATCAAAAATCAATTCAAATCAATTGCCAAATTCGATATAACATTCCATTGTCTATCCCTCACAACATTCTCTATTATTCACCACGTGCTAATATCATTCCCTTGATGTAGCGAAATCAGGTGCGTCAGATAATCATGTTCATCAACTCATCTGACGCTGTAGTCTCCGTGTGCAGAGAGCGACGTGGATGCCATTTTTTGACGATGGTGCGTTATACTTCGCCTGTTTTATTCTTTCGAACGTGCTGGTAACTAATGTCGGCTTTGATATCGCAGTCAACGCCATAGTGTTTTTGGCTCCGATGAGCGCATTTGACCAGACGCTTGTTGAGGCACCTGAAGTCAATCGCTTGGTGGGTAATTGCACACCCTGAAATTCTTAATTCTTCTCATACGTGCGCCACGCTAACAGGAAGACACTTTTGGCCTGTGGAAGAGTATCTGCTCATCTAAGCTACTCGTCTCGGTTTCTCTTGTTCTTTTGCTCAACAAGCGCGATATACTGCAGCGCAAACTAGAGTCGGGTATACGATTCGGACGCTATGTCAAGAGTTACACCGGGAAAAACCAGTGGGAGGCGGTCGCCAAGTGTGAGTCTGGCGTGTCGGCTGAGCTGGTGGACAGCACGCATAATGACGTTGCGACTGCAGATTTGAGAACAAAGTTTAAGGCGGTGCAGCGAGAATTGTCGCCTGTCCGCCGGATGTTCTATGCACATGTCACATGCGCAACGGTGCGTGGTGAATTCGTCACAATTCTTTCACGCGTCTTTCTGTTTTATGCTTACGCTGGACGGTAGGATACGGGCCAGATGGCCATCATACTAGTAGCCAGTGCGTACGATTCTCTATCAGCCCCCTTCGCTGACTGATGTTTCTTGAAGTCGAAGACCTCGTATTGCGCAGAAACCTGGAGGAGGTTCACCTCCTGTAACCTCCACAATCAGCTGCGCCCTAACAAGCGCAGCATTGCTATTGGCCCCTCATCTCTGCCGGAGTTGGTGTATGGCGCCCACGCCTCATACCCCACTCATGGTTCACCGCTCGTCCCTAATACCACACACGAGAAGGTTATTATTACTTATAGGCCCCGTACTAACTGTATCTGTGTCGGAAATGCAGTATTCTTGCCATTGTATTACATCCGGAGTGAGGTTTACTTAATTACCATTTATTGTTACTACTGTATTGGTCTATTCGAAGAGTTAGGTAGTTAATTGCCAAGGATTTTACAACCTTGTTGAATTTCGAACTTGTTGAGCTCAACGTCCGGCCGGGTCACCTTGTGGGGAGTGGGGGCGCGTGGCATGCAGTATAAGAGGAAGACCTGATGATAGTTTATAGTTGGGGACGTCAAGGTTACCTGCAACCATCATCGATTTTATATAGCTGAGCTGGAAACATCCCATGCCTACATGATCGAGCATGTACCCGCGGACCGCATCTCTCTGCTGATCATTCTTCCAATACATTTAGCACCAGGTCATCTCGTGGCGCAATGCAGAGAGTACTGCGCAATGTCCCAGGGATGCAAGATAAGCACCAGAATTCGGGACAGGTATGTTTTTAAATCATTGGCATTTCTTCGAATGCACCCATGCCAAACCGAAAGAAGCCAACGGTCCCACTGTCAACAACCCCGATGACGATTGTCTTCTTACCACCCTTGAGAACAGCAAACGGATGTGGTTTGCGAACGGGCGTCCCTCTCTCACCGCATTTGACCACTTTGCGCCCGAAAAGCCATGGAAAGAGGCGACTTAACGTCGAGGAGGGAGGAGGCGAAGTCGAGTGACCAGGGCGAGGTGACTGGGGGTTTGACGGTGCCTTGGGATGGCGTACACGAGGAATCGGGGGTCCGGTCTCAGGAAGGAAAGACCAAAGATAAGTCAGTTCATGGATGGAAGGTAAAGGTGTTGTTCGGGCGCTGGAGGAAAGTTTGGTTTAAAATAACTTATTCAGCAAGGTGAAGGAAAGAGATTTCTGAGATCTCACTTTACGACGACTAGTGAGTAATCTGGCGGCGGCGGCGCACTCTTCCGGAACGGCGTATTGGGCTTATAGACATGATAAAATATCTCGTATGGCATGGGCGGCTCGATAGGCGCTGTGTCAGGGGAGGGGGCCTTTAGTGACAAATGTGAGGAGTGGAGGGGAACTGTGTGCCCCGAGGGAATTATGCGCAGTGCCCTGTACACGGACGCTGGTTGGAATTAGGATCTGATTCTCAAGTACGGAAGAGTCGCTCACAGTAACTGTGCGCGCAGCCAAGCCAACCGAAGTTGAGCGGCCGCCACCAGTTAATCGTTCCAAGCACCCAGCTTCGCAGTCGAGAGAATATATTCAAAAATGGATTGAAGATTCGAGCGAGTAAACGTGGTGGTGAAGGACGAGAAAGGATTGGGGAAGCAGGTACGGGGTAAAAAGTTGTAGGGGGTTTTGCACGAATGACATTGAATCCAAGACGTTTCAAGTAAGCATACGCCTTCGTTCAAGTAAACCCCACGCCAGCAACCTCGGGTCAGAAAGAATACGGCGACTCACATGGTAGCGTTCTAAAGTCAGATCTTCTCTTCCTATCATCTCTACAAAAGCTTGCTGTACGCTCATCGGTGAACCACACATATCATGCTCCCCATCCGCCTTCTCCTCCACTTCAGCACTGCTACGGGATCGCGCGCTGGGTTCATTCTTCCAACAAAAGAGACTGCCTCGTTCAATGAGATACAGTGTCTCCTCAGGTAGGAGTTCGGTACGCCGGTGAGCTTTCTGAACGTTCCCATCTACCTTGGAACTTGCGGATGCTGTACGGGGAACAGAATGCCCCATACCATTGAAGAGTACACCTCTCGCTTGCGTTACGTGTGCCCTAGACAAATCAGCATACCACACTGCATAACTCACAGACTTGCTGCACACACATCACAACTAAATTGAGCAAGCATACTCATTTGAAACTGCACATACTTCGATATCCCTCGTTCTGCATCAAGAGCCCCAAACATCGCATCCCGAGCGCGGTTCAGGGAATGGGTCTGGAGATTGGTAGCACCGTTTGTCGCAGGCTCAAACTCCTTGTCGCCGCGTTTTGGAAGCGATGGTCTCGATGACGAAACAAATGACCTGCATGGAATCAACGGTGGGAAGACATACGAGCAGCATGCATCGTAGTCACTTCAGCTTGGTCCAGTCGGGACCCTCGTCATCCTCTCCGGAGGTATCGCCACTTTCATCTTCTAGAGAAATTTTGGGTTGTGGAATAGAAGGTTGTCCGAGATTGTCGTCCATACTTAAAGTATACTTAGGATTAGATTTTGTCACGGTAGCCCGTTGTCAGATGAAAAAGGCAATTGCAACACAGTAACAAACAACGGAAAATTTAGTCGCAAAAAAATGGCACGACCCGGGCTTGAACCGGGGACCTGCAGATATCCGGATAGGCTTCAGTCTGTCGCTCTCCCAGCTGAGCTATCGCGCCATATAATTGAGGCGATTATCTTCCTATAAGATACCACTGTCTTATAAGCGCTTCCTCGGTAATGATCTTTGGCGTCACGAATGTATTCACACTAATGTATTCATTTATTCATTTCATAGATTTCCCGTCAAGCCTTGGCAGGGAATTGTGGCACAATGGCACTGTGACTGTCAGCCGAGCGTAACTGCAAAATTATCTCAGATGCGTATCGACTGCCTATCGCAGATTATATAGAATCCAAAGTTCACCGTACAAATTCCCGGGAGCCATAAGCTTTGTGTTAATTTGTATCATCGTTTGGTTCGATCCTCCTTGCGGGATGTCACAGAGCGGTCCGCCTTTCTACGCAAGCAAACACGGCGGGATTTTATCAATCGCTCCAGGACGAAGGGTAGTATACAAGATATACATCTCCCGCTCGGTTCCATTGCTGCCCAGAACGCCTTCTCGATTGGTTATTGGACGTGCATGACCGAACGACGTGAAGAGTCTATCAGCATCTATTGTCTTCATATACTAGTACTTATCGTCCCATAGCACTTTATAGTGTCGGATATCAGCAACAGATGTGGTGATTTGAATTCGGCTCGAGTGCCACCATCATGATGCCATCAGATCATAGCCTCTGTCGCTCTCCCACGTGGAACCAGCTGTCTTATGTAAGCTGCGCTTGCCACATTCTTGCGTTCCTGGGCGAGGAGCGAGCTGAGGTCCATAGCCTCTCTGCAGTTCTCGGTGTGCAGGTTTGGTCAATCATTTGTGCAACATCGATGGGATTAGACCCACTTATTTATCATGGAATCCACCAGGGAAATCCGAAATTGTCAGAACACAGTGGCACTTGCAGCAGAAAGTTCAAAGCAACTGCAGAAGTAACTCATACGGTGCTGTACGATCGGGTATTCGGAGATTCATATTTTTTGCCGGAGACCGAAGCCTGGCACCGACTCCGAGTCTCCCAGTCTAAGTAGCGATCTCGGCTCACATATCGTCAAGCAACCGCCCGGTTTCCAGGTCGTGCTGACTTGGTGTCTAATCGACATAGCACCTGGGAGCGCCTCAAAATGCATCAACTTGTATACCCTGGCGTCTATGTCCGCCTCTCCCCCCGTCCCCCGTCCCCCATCGCCGTTGGTTTATGTGCTCTAGAACAGCTAAACAAGCCTTCCACTCGTTAATAACACACGCTACACGCACATTTTGTGAGGAGTGGTCATCCCAGCGTGTCTCTCCAGCTCCAGATTATAACTGATTCAGTATTGTCACTTAGTGAGCTTTGCCAATTACATAAAACTTTCGACTTATTATTCTTCCACAGTACGCATCAGGTGGAATAATCGAAGCCACGCCGACACAGCCTTTCATTAACAAGCCTCACAAGCGACAATAACGTGGTATTACTGGTACCAATGCATCGGCCGAGACACGTGCGCCCGCGCATTGTCCCAGTCGGTGCCAGTACAACTTCTAGCTCCCAAAGGCCAAACTCAGTTGTTATTATATCGACCCATATTGTCATTTCGTTATCAAGTCGTACACAGCTTTCGATAGCTTCCACCGTCTCCCCGGTATCACAGAATTCATTACAATCTTCCGCCACCCAGGTATCACCAAACCTACAGACTTCATCGACTTCGCCTGTTATCCAGATATCATCCAGCACACAAAATCCATTCGCTGATTTGTCTGCCGCGCCAACTCCGCCGACTTCTTCGTCTATCCAGACATTATCCAACACAGAAACTTCATTGATTGATCCTGTCATCTCGGTATTGTCTACCGCTCCGCCGACTTCCTCCATAATTCGTGTAGGTTCCTCAGTGGCCACGTCTCTCATCACCACACACACTTCAACCCCCACACCCTCAGCCTCCCAATCAACATACGATGATGATGATTCCACTGCTACATATATTATCCTCGGCACGATAGGTTTCGTGTTAACTGTTCTCATCATCCTTACGTTCCTCCTCAAGAAATGTCGTAGACTGGTCACGTCTACAGAAATAGGCGCAGCCAAAGGGCGATGGGATATTTTCAGTCGTTTCTGCGGAGCACGAACTACAACACCCTTCCATTTGTCCGAAACAGAAAGGGAAAGGGAAAGGGAAAGGAGTGCCCGACGAAATCCAATGCATGAGGACGAGAACGGAGTCACGGAAAAACGTGTCTTCCCACCTTTTGGTAGACAACGATTGGTCGTCCCAGGTCCAGCTTTAGGCACGGCCCTTCATGAAAACCGAATTCAAGATCAGGTTATTTCCGATCAGCGATCCATAAACGTGAGTGTGTGCCAAGTGTTCTATGGTATTGAAACCTCCAACAGGTGCCCCGTCTACCAGGTTATTGAGAGCGAGGATTTCTTCTTTTCGTACAACGCCAGCGATGAGAACCTTGTCCGGGCGCGTGAAATTGACTGGGCATCGCAGCCCATAGAAGAAGCTCCGGGGGCAGGTGGGCAGCGTAGGGATTCTTCAGAAAATCCATTCGTTTCAGAGGACGATGATTCAATGCGAAGCACCAACAAGACATTAGTTAGTTAGACAAATGGCGATAAGCAGGACTTTAGTATAGCCGTTCTTCGCAACTGTACGTGGAACATCCGGACGTTCAGATATATTAGTACAGAATTATTGCGGAAAACCAGCAGGGGCCTACATTGATCAGATTATGAGCAGTGAGCACCCATATCTCCAACCATGCATGACTAATGAGCACAGACCTTGTGCCTCGTGAGCAATCACTACATGGTAAGCTTACTGTAAATCTACCGCTGTTCCATTGCTGTGGACACGGCCTTTGTTTGTCAAAATGGACGGATTCATGGAGTTCGTGGATTCGCATTAGATTTCACGACGAACTCACCTCTAATTTATTAACGTGAAACGTGAAACACCCTGTTGACACCGCACATGACATTGCCGATTGGGGATTGGGCGGCCGGATCGATCTAGCTCCGCCACCGCATCGCACACGTCCTCCTGCAGTGTCCGGCCTTCCTGTTCCTCGGAAAGGGGAAAGACGGATGTCGTTGGGCTTGAAGTACTGGGTATGTCATCATGCGTACCCAGTACTTCAAGCCCAACGACATCCGTCTTTTCCCTTTCCGAGGAACAGGAAGGCTGCAGGAGGATCTGGCTTCACGGCTAGTGTCTTCCCGGGTCGGGTTTAAGCCCGGGCTGGGCCCTTGAAAGCCCGAGCCGAGCCGGGCCCAGCCCTTGGAAAGCCCGCTGCGAGGGCTGGGCTTGATATTTAGCAAGCATGGTGGTCGTGCAGTCACCGCATTGTTGAGGGATATCCCATAAGATTAGTTCATTCGTCAGACAACGGAGGCGGAGGGTGAGAATTACATGGAGAGCACGAAGACCAAGGTTACGACAGATAGCGCGAGGGGAAAGACATCCGCCCTCTCTATATCCGGCGCAGAGTGATTCAGGAGGGCGGTCACCTCCAACCGCACGCCTTGAAGAAATGAATCACTTGAAGTCCAATGGGACTCGAAGACTGGCTGAAGGCTAACCATAGACCGTGAATCCGACATAACCCACTGCTGAGAGGGCCATAATATGTTAGTCTGACGAGAAAGGACTGTGAGGTGAGCGGAGGCAAGAGGGAAGTGGTTGCATGGCGGATGCTATCTAGTAAGTATATATAATGATCCGGCGAATTACCTCAGCTCCGGTTGCTTGCCAAGTGCAGACTAGTTATAGTTACTGCGTATATACATTTCAACACCCCGGAGAGTCGACCGTCGACCCTGTAACCTTGACTTGAGGTACAAATTTACTTGCCAGCTAACCGATAATACTGGGTGACCAAGGTTCAAATTTGTCAAACCGTAAGACCAATTTTCAAACGAGAGTCATAAGCCAGGCTCCTGGGTCAGCCAGCCGTTTAGACGGTGTTGATGTCCAAATTGGGCCAAATGTGATGCCGCGCGTAGATTCAGAGTGCGCGATGGGCCGAGGATCGGGCGGAGCTTTAATGTGCTTCCCTCCGGCTTAGGAAAAGGAATTTAGAATTTTAGGTCTACGGAAAGTCATCCACTTATGACTGCCGTGGCACCTCATTGCACCTCCCGTGGAGATCTGAGATCGGATGCAGTAGCCTGATGTACCTAAGTAGGGATAGCGTTCAGATGCTGATTGGGTTACTAGCTATATACGCATGGACAATGCCCGCACCACGCTGCACTAATCCCAGAACCTCTAGCCGTGGGTGCGAGCTTCTCCAGCTTCTCCATGGTAAATAGTCCTCCCACTCCTCATTTTATTTCAAAGTTCGCTGCCATCACTGCACCCGAATCGATACCAGAGCCTTGATCTCAACTCGGGGCAGCTCACCATAAGTAAGATGGGGCTCAGTGTAATCAGTGCCAGTCCTAGGGAAACATGTCATCTACGTGGACGAAGATAAGCGTCATGCAAGTATGTGGATGACTCGAGCCGCGGGGGAGTACGTGGGTGAGGTCTGGCGAAGCGCCAGCCTCGCCATCAGCTAGTTCTTCATCAAAGTCAGAATAGCCCACCGAATCCAAGGAAATCCTGACGAGCTCACGCAAGAAGCTTCAAGAGCTGGATCGACACATGAGCACAAGCATAGCACCCAGGAAAAATTATCGTGGCGCCGATGGTATGACGCACGCCGCATCCTATGAGTCCGCTAAATATTTTCGCTGCAATTGCGGCACAAATATACAGGAACGCATAGTACATCCAATCCGGTGTCTTCCTCAAAATCTGGCGTGCATTGCCTAATAGGGAATTAGGACCTGCGTTTTGGAGGCGACTCCTCGCACCGTAACGTGTAACGCTCATCCTAGCTTGCCATAACATTTCATGTCTGTGTCTCTTGTACCAGGTCTCATTCGGTCCCACTCCCTCCCGGCGACACTAACCCGGCCTCGGTATTCCAGGAAGCCTCACGATCACTGAAGGTGAAAGGCAGCACGTTTGAAGCGATTGCGGATATTCTGGTATGCTTATTTGTTGTTTATCACA